ATACAGTTAACAAATATTGACAGATGTTTATAAACCAAGTGAGAATGAGGAGTTCATTGATATTGGGAAGTTGCTAAGAGATACATTGTTTCAAAAGTCAGAACCAGCAGTTAAGAGAACAGAAAGAGACAGACAGGTAATTGCAGTGACAGTTACACATGTCTATAAACCTAGTGAGAATGAGGAATTAATTGAAATTTGGAAGTTGCTTAGAGTTACATCGTTTAAGGGTCAGAGGTACATTGTTTCAGGAGTTAGAACCAGCAGTTCAGAGAACATAAAAGAATGAGTAATGAATGGATATTGAAAATGGCTTAGAGTTACATTGTTTCAGGAGTCCGAACCAGCAGTTCAGAGAATAGAAAAGAATGAGGAACGAAAGGATATTAGAAAAATTGCTTAGAGGTACATTGTTTCAGGAGTTATAACCAGCAATTCAGAGGACAGGAAAGAATGAAGACTGAATGGATATTGGGAAGCTGCTTAGAATTACATTTTTATCAGCCAAAAAAAGTTTTTGAATGGAGTTCAACTTTAACCCTTTCTCTGCCAGCCAATTTGGCTGATTTGGTACTTTTATGCGCTCTTTCACTTTAGGGGCCTTTCCTGGGCGGGTCTTTTAGTTTACCCAGAAAAACAATATATCGTTTTTAGGACAACCTAAGCTTTCAAAATGTGGTAGATTTTTGGTGTAATTCCACTTCTGTAAAAAGATATTGGTTTCTAAGTGTCTAAAAAATTAAAGAAAAATCATGTTTCCCCTAAATCAAACACATATCAGAAACATAATTTATTTATGTAAGAAAACACAGCAGATTTGGAATGTTCTATGTCTCCTGAATGCGCCAATACCAAATATATATAGTTTTATGGAGATTTCTCACTTGTATAGATGAAAAACTCCAAACTTATGTCATTCTGTTATCACAGAACCCCTCAGTGACTTCTAATATCCTTATCATTTAAAGTAGGGAGTATGTTGTCTCTTATAGTATATGAGTGATGCTCAAAGATCTCTGTATAACTCAACCTGCAGCCTCATGACTTTATATGGTCACAGAACCCCTCAGTGAACGCAAATATCCTTAACATTTACGGTAGGGGGCACACAAT